CAGTTAGTGTTGAAGCAGCCATGTCAGGGAGACGCTGTGTGTGTCAATGCGAAAGCAAAAGCACTTTATTTGGCCTTCCGAAAGTACAGTAGATGCATTTAGGAATCTTTAAGATTACTTGCAACAGAACAGCAATGCATTTTATGGGCGACCGTTTCGTGAACCTAGGAGAGGAATAATACAGCAGCGGCGCGTCTTGTGGGCTAGACTAACAAAACATTAAAATGCAACGTCACTTACATCATCATCACCGCATCTCTCGCACCACTGATGACGCTCCCTGACGCACTTCTAACATTCGATTGTATAATTTTTGCATTCAAATGCAAATGTTTATTTTAAATTCGACTAATATTCTTTTTTTTTTATTCACAATCTCCTCATCACAGGCAGGCACAGCACTCAATTCAGCATGTGTTCGTGTTTGTGTGAGCTGTCTGTGTCACTCATAGCACGTGCCTATATCATCCGCTATATCGAACATTTTTTATATCGTTACCGATGGTGTACCGTCGATAAATATCGATACCGTTTTATCGCCCAGGCCTATTTTGACCTCACTATTCGGGGAACAGACAGTCTTTATAGATTGGACAGCACAAGTACTTCTATCATTTAAGCGGGTAGAACAAAAGTCATCATGGCAGTTATTTGAGATTTGACTTACTAGCCTAGCATCCTAACTGATGACTGTTGTTGTTTGTAGGTATATTGAATACATGTGTGATATGCTGGCAGAAGAGCCCATAATCCCCCACAGCAAGCCTATTACCATCCGCTCCGTCACCATGACTCCCGTACCACTCTTTAATAAGCAGCGAAACGGCTGTCGGCCGTTCTGTGAGGTTTACGTCGGTGACGAGCGAGTCGCAACCACTTCACAGGAATATGACAGAATGAAGTAAGTCACCCTGTGATGAAACTTAACGTCATGTGATTCCTTGCTGACGGACATTATTAAAAAAAATATATATAGCTAGTGTCTGCATCTCTAACTAACTTTGCCATTTCTGCAGGGATTTTAAGATGGAGGACGGGCGAGCGGAGATTCCTCTGAATATAACTGTGCAGGGAGACGTGCTGATAGTGATTTATCACTCACGCTCAACACTGGGCGGACGCCTGCAGGCCAAAGTAAGACTCATAGTGACCGATATTTGTGAATATTGTCCCAGTACGTGTTTATAAGCAGAAATTAACAAATGCAAGTAAAATGTTACTGACCAGTTGGCCGGTAACTTTATTAGGAATGGCATTATTATGATATAAATGGCATTAATGGATTATGATGTAAACAGCGATGTAAGAACAGTAGTTTAACCCTTACTGACAATTTGAGCAAATCAAATCCCAGACAAATATACCATTGTGCATCTTTTAAAAACTATTTTTATTTGCAAAAGCGAATGTAGTTATAATATTGTAATTCTTTTTACATTTTCAATCTCTTCCCAATTAACCCAGAGCAATTAAAAATAAATAAATAATACAAAAAAAAACAATTGTGCATCTCTTTTACAAATTGTTCCTCGTATGTCATAATTCCATCCATTTAAAGCCACCATAATGAAAATAAGGAACAAAATTAAGATGGTTCACTGTTTTTTCTTTTTTGCTGTTTGATTGAGATTTGTTGCATTTGATTACAAGTTTAGGAGGTTTTGTTTTGCCGCAAAATACAATGGATAAATGAGGATAATTAATTTTACAGGGAAAACACATAATTAATATATTATTAATAAAACAATGCATAATGCGTTTTCATAGATGATAAAAATACTAGAATTTGTCAATTATTTAACACAGATGTTACATAGTCGTTAATATAATCATTTTATATAATTTTTTTAAATGTATATTATATAAAACTATATAAAACGACTCTATTAAAAAATTTATAAAATCTTAAATAATTGATAGATATTATAAAATTATTTCCATGAAATATTTTATTATTATTATGTTTTATATAGTATAGTTGGTATGTTGTAATGTATGTTAAGTTTAATTGCATATTGTATGATTTTTTTTAAATTATTTTTATTATAGTTTATTTTTGCCCTAAATATTGTGTTTGGTATGGCATTAAAATAGTAAAATAAAAAGTGTTTTTTGGACAATAAGAAATATTAATGGGCTGGTAAATTTTTTCATTTCACCTACAGTGATATCTAATACAAATTTAATTAAGATGGTTCACTATGTTTTTTCTTTTTTGCTGTTTGATTGTGAGATTTGTTGCATTTGATTACAAGTTTAGGAGGTTTTGTTTTGCCGCAAAAAAACAATGGATAAATGAGGATAATTCATTTTACAGGGAAAACACATAATTAATATATTATTAATAAAACAATGCATAATGCGTTTTCACCTACAGTGATATCTATTCTTTCTATTCTATTCTATAGCTTGCTTCCAACAGATCTTCACACTGGAAGCCCTTGAAACCTTTTCCACCCATTGTTCATATTTTGTTAATGCTTCTTAGTCATTGCGATTCATTGCACACATGCTGTGTTGTGGTTTTTGTAGATGGCTTCCATGAAGGTGTTTCAGATTCAATTCCATACTGGGTTTGTGCCCAGAAACGCCTCCACTGTCAAATTTGCAAAGTAAGTTTCACTTTACTCTTAGAATGGTCTCATATCAGTTTCACATTCAATTTTATGTCAAAATGTGATGCTCTTTTAATATGGTGGTGCTGTGTGTGTTTGCAGGTATGATCTCGATGCGTGCGACATCCAAGAGAAATACCCCGACCTCTTCCAGGTACATGTAAATGTGGAGGTGGAGCCTCAGGATCGCCCTAGCAACAAGGCTCCGCCTTGGGAAAATTTTGCCACGAAAGGACTAAATCCCAAGATCCTTTTCTCCAGCCGAGATGAACAGCAAGAGATCCTGACAAAATTTGGTGAGTTTTCTCTCTATTTGGTTGCTTTTTTCAGATTTTTCAGGGTAATCACATGTCACAAGTCTTAAAATGTCTCGGATTCAGTTTGTCTTAAATATCTTAAATGGTATAGCAAAAGAATTGGGCACAGAAATTGATTAAAATGATCCACTGTTGATGAGTTATGATAGTGTTTGCTTTATGGTGTTTATATTATGGATTGTTTTAGGAGTGCATATTTTTAGGCCTGTCGCAATAATCAATATATCGACTTATCGTGCAATATATGTACATGACCTCAATCATTTTTGGTGACGCAATATATCGCCCATTATATTTACTTAAAAATTAATGTCACCATGTTTTGTACATTCCACTTGCGCCTGTGTCTTTTGCAGCTTCTCGTACATAACGCGGTGTAGTCATGAGGTGCTACTTCAAATTTAAAATATGCTTCTACAAAAAAAGTTTCATCTGCAGATATGGCCTTGTTTAGGGATCTGTGCCTTTGTGCATACGGACATCTGACTGCTATGTAGTGATTGTGATTTTCAGCAATAGTATGTGCACCCTTCATTTACAGAGAAAAGAAGGTCCGGGAAAAATCTGTAGATGGAAAAATCTCCATACAAGTTCTTTATGCATTTTTCTACTTTGCACTTTTTGTTAGAAAATGTTTATTTACTATTTATTCAAGTTTTTTAAGGTATCTAATATTTTGATACTTAATTTCCATGATCTAAATATTCTTAAAAATTAAAAGTTTGCTGACATTTGGAAGTGTGTAGGCCTTCTTGCATTATTATGCTGTTACATTATGATTCTATATTCAGTGGCATAAAATGGTCTTTAAAATGACAATAATATCGCTTATCGCAGTTATTTCTGGGACAATATATCGCACAACCAAAAGTTGTTATCGTGACAGGCCTACATATTTGATCTCATCTTTTTGAATGAGTAGCTGGAAGTAAAGCATAGACATTTCAAAATAAGAGTCCCTGTCCATTTTAGACTTGTTTATAATTCAGAAACGGATTATGGTAATTTTTTTGGTATATTAATGGTATTTTGGTTACACAATAAACTATATCTAGAATTTAATTACACTGTGTCAAAGGAAGTAAGAACATTGTTTAACACATTCAATATATAGATTTTATTAGTTTTGTCACAATAATCTGTATATTGCATTTATTTAAATATGTTTTTGTCTATGCCAAATACAATATAAATCAACCTTTATTTCATATGCAATCATACATTAATACATAAATGAATTTCAAGTTATTTTAAGTCTTAAACAGGTCTTCATTTTAAAACTCTGCAGATACCCTGTTCTTATTTCTCATCGACATTATGATGTTACACATTTCCAATTAGTTTTAACTTGAGATGTTTGTTCTTAATCTTTCTGGTTGATCAGGTAAACCAGAGCTTCCACGTCAGCCTGGTTCAACAGCCTGTTACACCTCTGAACCGACCCAGCCGGAGCATTCGCCTGAAGGGCCACAGACCGAGCAGGATTCCCCTTCTCCTCAAAGCACAGACACCAATGCCAACAACTTCTTCCAGATGCTTGACTGGGAAGGTATACAGCATATTCATAACATTTTTATGCGAATGAGCACTAGGGTTGTGCCGATAGACGATAGTATCGTGTTACGACGATAGTCGGAGATATCGCCTGTGGCTGATGCCTTTGACGATAGCAAGACGATTATTATTATTATTAATATTATTATCAGGCTAGTAGTACTATCTAATTAATATTAGGGCTTATTGGTTGCATTATATTTCTTTTTCCGCGTTTTTACAGTATTGCGTGTTTTAACCAATCACACACAATTATGCTGAGTTTATGAATGCAATGGCCAATCAGAGGCGTTCAGATGAGTCATCACTGAAACAGCGGAGTTCCGTTGTTCAGCACGCGCTGACTGAAATCTGACTCGCGAATTCTCTCATTATAAACAACAAAGTGCAGATCTACGTGCGATGTAAGTATAAGAGATTTATTCATCATACAGTGTATATTCACTGATTTTAACGGGAGTGTTTTTAAAGTGCATAACTCGCTAGACTGAGCTTGTGATGATGTTCTTTGGTAATATAATGTTCTTTGCTCATTTTCTGTAGCTGCTTTTTGAATAACTGAGGAAATGTAAGCATTATAATTAGTAACTTACAATGTTTCTATTAATTTTAACCAATCACACACGATTATGCTGAGTTTATGAATGCAATGGCCAATCAGAGGCGTTCAGATGAGTCATCACTGAAACAGCGGAGTTCCGTTGTTCAGCACGCGCTGACTGAAATCTGACTCGCGAATTCTCTCATTATAAACAACAAAGTGCAGATCTACGTGCGATGTAAGTATAAGAGATTTATTCATCATACAGTGTATATTCACTGATTTTAACGGGAGTGTTTTTAAAGTGCATAACTCGCTAGACTGAGCTTGTGATGATGTTCTTTGGTAATATAATGTTCTTTGCTCATTTTCTGTAGCTGCTTTTTGAATAACTGAGGAAATGTAAGCATTATAATTAGTAACTTACAATGTTTCTATTAATTTGTTATCATGTTAAATACAAATTCAGTCATATTAAAAACATTAGGCTGCTTTTAGCCTTACGCTGGAGTTGGTTCACTTTCCCGCAATGAAACTAAGTAAATAATTACATAAATTAGCACGATAATATCGTGTATCGGCGATCTCACAGGCTGACTATAGGACGATATGAAAATTGAGCAAAATTTAATCTTTGTTAACATCAAATGTAAAATCCATTAAATAATATAATCATGTAAAATCCATTAAATAATATTAACTTATACAACTTTTGATTGTAATAATATATTAGTAAATGTTTTAATTAATATTAAAATTAACAAATGCTTTAGAAGCACTTTTCATTGTTAGTTCGTGTTAACAAATGCAGTTAATTAATATTAACAAATGGAACCTTTATTGTAAAGTTTTACCGTTAGTTGTCTCTGCACATTAAAGGTGAAGTGTGTAACTTTTCATAATATTAAAATATTTCCTTTTTTAGTTTGTTTAATGAATAATTTTAATTTTACAGGGCTCAACAGTGCATTTAACTCGCATTTGTGTCTAACTATAGATGTGTGTGAACTGTACAATGTATTTAGGAGCATGTGTGCAAATAAAAAAAAGTCTTAAATTAAAATTTAAGGTCATAAAAAGTCTTAAGTATCTTAAAAATGCAAAAACAAAAGTCTTAATTATCATTTTAGATGGTCTTAAATTCAGGGCTTGAAAAAATTATTTTTGATACAGCTTCATGTGATTATCAAACTTCAAATGCTGTGATTTAATAAAAAAATGTGAGTGCTGCACATTTCAAAGTCAAAATAGACTATTTGAAAAATCAACATGAATTAGCAAAGACATTTCAAAATATGTGTCCCGGCCTATTTCTGGCTTGTTTATAATTTAAAGTCCCACAATTTGCAAACATTTTACTGGTTAGTATTGGTATTTTGGTGTACAATAAACTCTATCTGACATTTGATTCAATGTTTAAGATATAAATAATTACATTACTTTAAATAAATACAGTTTAAAGCCGAAATATAAAAAATAAAAAACTAGTATACTTTCTGTGTTTTTTATATATATATATATATATATATATATATATATATAAGTCATGTTATATTATGCTTTGAATAAACGTGCATTAGTAATATTTTTCTCGATGCACCCTCTTGTGGCCTCAAGAGAGAATCCAAAAGCTTTTCTTCACCCTAACTGAAATTGTGCATTTTAAATTAGAATATAATTCAAATTTTGATCATATTGAAGTACAAAATTCAAGCATTAAAATAATTTTTTGCCACATATTGTTCCTCAATGGCATTTATTACATAGAAAGTCATTTTATGTCATTTGTATATGTGGACCATCATCTTTTCGCCAACCAAAGCATTTCTTTCTTTAGCCTTTATTATATTTTCTGCACTTAAATTAGCTGTACTGTATTATGGTGTGTTTACAGATGGCAGTCAGCAGGTCGAACATTCTGATAGTCAATTGGAGGACCAGGATGATTTGAGTGGCGGATCGGAGGAGGAGTCAGTGTCTTACTCCGCTTCCGTTGATGGGACTCTGTCACGTGACATCAGCGAACCGCTCTTCGAGGCAGACTTCACAACCACTCCACCTGACCCTCAGCCCGACACAGAGGACCTACTCGGCCTGAACTCTGACCCCTGTCCCCCAGCCGCCGCCACTCAGCCGGGTCTTGCTAATGAGACGGGTTTGAAAAGTTCTGCCAGTAACAGTGATTTACTGAACGACCTGTTCGCCCCTACACCCAATGCTGTGCCTTCAGCTAATGCAGAAGACCTGATGGGAGAAGGTACAGGAGAAGATCTGTTCTTCTCCAGCACATCCAGCCAACCGGCACCAGCCACTAATAAAGGTAAGAGAGACTGTGTGCATGAATGTTTAAATAAACATTCATTAACAAAAAGCTGGTCACCAAAAGTTTGCATTAAGCATTATGCCTTAGAGCAACCCATTTGACCCCATATTATTCCAGTGGGACCATCTTTGTACTTTGTAACATTGACTGATGCTTGCATTGAATAAAATGACAACAAATGAAATGCATATAGATAAAGATAAAAGTCAAAAATCTAAAATTAATGTTTTGGGTTAAGAAAATGAAGCATGTTTTAAGAACAATATGATTTTTGCATTTACATGATTTGTATCTGAAATTCTCATCATATATATATATATATATATATATACATACACATACATACATACAGGTACATCTAAAAAAAAAATAATATCATGAAAAAGGTCAATATTTTGTCACTCATTTCAGAAAGTGAAACCCATATATTATATAGATTCTTTACACATAGAATGAAATATTTCAAGCCTTTATTTCTTGAAATTGTGATGATTATGACTGACAGATAATGAAAACCCAAAATTCAGTGTCTCAGAAAATTAGAATATTGTGAAAAAGTTCAATATTGGAAAGTCATGGTGTCACACCCTAATCAGCTAATTACCTCAAAACACCTGCAAAGGTTTCCTGAGCCTTTAAATGGTCTCTCAGTCTGGGTCAGTTGGCTACACAATCATGGGGAAGACTGCTGACTTGACAGATGTCCAGAAGACAGTCATTGACACCCTCCACACGGAGGGTAAGCCACAAATGTTCATTGCTAAAGAAGCTGGTTGTTCACAGAGTGCTGTATCCAAGCATATTCATAGAAAGTTGAGTGGAAAGAAAAAATGTGGTAGGAAAAGGTGCACCATCAAGAATTTGGGGGAGCTTCGCAAGGAGTGGACTGAGGCTAGCGTCAGCGCATCAAGAGCCACTACGCACAGACGAATCCTAGACATGGGCTACAAATGTCGCATTCCTCGTGTCAAGCCACTCCTGAACCAGAGACAACGTCAGAAGCATCTTACCTGGGCTGTGGAGGAAAGAACTGGACTGTTGCTCAGTGGTCCAAAGTCCTCTTTTCAGAAATGGAAATCAAGGTCCCAGAGTCTGGAGGAAGAGTGGAGAGGCACAGAAACCATGTTGCTTGAAGTCCAGTGTTAAGTTTTCACAGTCAGTGATGATTTGGGCTGCCATGTCATCTGCTGGTGTTGGTCCACTGTGTTTTCTGAAGTCCACAGTCAACGCAGCCATCTATCAGGAAATTTACACACACACACACACACACACACACACACACACACACACACACTGTGGGTATAGAAAAGAATCACCCCCTTTAAAATAATCAAATTTTGTTGCTTTGGAGTCTGAAATGAAGATGAACACAGTTTTTGTTTTACCTGCTGTATTTACCCAGTGCAACTTATAACAACATCCAAGTGAAAGATAAAAACACCAACATGAAATTTTTTTTTAAAACAGAATCACTGATTTGGAAAAAGGATCACCCCCCTCCTAAAAATGACTAGCTAATCACCTTCTCAATGGCACACAAAGACATTTGACTATCAGCTGTGCTTATTTTGATCAGCTCAGCATGAAAAGAGCTTTCCTGGAGCATTCCTTGGTAGTGCAACTGAAGCAAACAATCAACTATGGGAAGCAAGGCACTGTCAAAAGATCTCCAGGATAAAGTTGTGGACATGCACAAGTCAGGAGATAAATACAAAAACATTTATCAAAAGGCTTTATCAATGCCTAGAAGCACAGTGAAGTCTATTATTTAGAAGTGGAAGATATTTGATACAACACAGAGCCTCTCTGGATCAGGACGTCGCTCCAAACTGGATGAAAGAGCTGGAGGAAACTGGTCAGAGAGGCGACCAAGAGGCCCGACAGCAGCTCTGAAGCAGCTGCAGGAATTTATGACAAAGAGTGGTCATTGTGTGCATGTGACAACAATATCACAAATTCTCCACTAATGTGGCTTTTATGGAAGAAAGGCCTCATGCTGTCAGACTGAGCTTTGCCAAAACGCACCTTGAAGATTCTGAGACAGATGAGACTAAAATTTAATTATTTGGCCTCAACACCAAACGATATGTCTGGCGGAAATCCAATACAGCTCTCCATCCAAATAACAGCATTCCTCCAGTAAAGCATGGAGGTGGTGATATCCTGTTATGAGGGTGTTTCTCTGCAGCAGGGACTGGAGCACTTGTCAGGATAGAAGGAAAAATGGATGGGGCGAAATACTGTCAAATTCTTGAGGAAAATCTGCTGCCCTCTGCCAGAAAGTTGTCAATGAGAAGAAGGTTTACCTTCCAACATGACAATGACCCAAAGCACACAGCAGAACTGAGCACACAGTGGTTGAAGGAGAAAAAGGTGAATGTCCTTGCATGGCCTCGTCAGAGTCCAGACTTAAACCCCACTGAAAATCTGTGGAATGACTTGAAGACCAGACCACAAACACTCACCATCAAACTGAACTTGAGCAGTTCTGCAAAGAAGAGTGGGCAAATGTTGTAAAGTCTAGACGTGCAAAGTTAGTTGAGACCGAGACCGATCCCAACAGACTAAAGGCTGTAATTAAAGCAAACGGTAGTTTAACGAAATACTGACACAAGCGCGTGATCCTTTTTCCAAATGATATGATTGTTTTTTCTCTCACATGTTGGTGTTGTATCTTTCACTTGGATGTTATAAGTTGCACTGAGTAAATACAGCAGATAAAACAAAAACTGTGTCCGTCTTCATTTCAGGCTGCAAAGCAACAAAATGTGATTATTTTAAAGGGGTGATTCTTTTCTATACCCACATATATTCTTTTCTTTTCTGTTCTTTTAATGTTGGGGTAAAATATCACCTGGACATGTTGTTTGTAAATGTATTTGTTTGTTTGATATATTATTACTATTATTATTATTATTTTACATTTTAAGAATGTATTTTCTAAATTATACTGACTTTCTTTCTGTAGACTTCTTTGACCCCTTCGGTGTGGGGTCAGCCTCTGCAGGGTCCGATCTGTTTGGTGACCTCCTGGGGTCAGACAGTGCTAGTAGTGGGTTCAAAGCTCCGCCTCCTGCATCCAACTCCAGCCTCTTTAACCTAAGTGAGTTCCGCTCTGATTTACATATAATTCAAACCATTGGAATACTTAATAACATGTTATTCAGTATAAAAATAATCGCCTTATTACAAAAATTGTGGTTATTAAGAGAGAAGTTCTGTGCTGTTTTCAAAGCAAACTTCGGGGTGTCTGAAAATGTTTTGCCAGATAAGTTATCAAGCGAGACTCCGAAGATGACCTCATCAGCGAGTCAGCCTGATCTGTTAGGTGGCTGGGAAAACTGGACCACAGGAGGAACCAGCACGACTAGTAACATGACCACTGCTGCCAGCAAACCTACTATGAGTGGTAATCAATCAGTCATTCATTCAGATAACCAAAACAGTTACTTTGTTTAGGTCTAGTCTAATTTATTATTAGTTAATGCATTAATTAAGATTAAATAGCATGGAGCAATATATTTTGGTTGCACTTAATTTGAAGGTGTCGTTGATACAGTATAAATATATAATTAAGAAGTCAAATTTATTAACAACGTACTTAGTATAGGATTAAGATTTGGGCTTACAGTTTATTTTACAGTACGTACACTTACCTGTATTTACAGTGTACGCACATAAGAAAGTATTGGATAATATAAGGTAATTACATGGGTTAGGGTTAGGTTTAAGGGTAGGTTCAGGGTTAGTACCTAGTTAATACCCAGTTATTGTAATTTCTATAACAAGTACATAGTATGTACATGCGGAACAGGACTGTAAAGTAAAGCTCCCGGGTTTGGTTTAAGGTTAGTTTCTTGTAATTATGTGTAATTTACTGTTATTACTATAGTAAGAACATGCAACATAACAAGGAAAAATAATGAATTACCTATATTTTTACAGCATTTATTAATCTTTGTTAATGTTAGTTAATAAAAATATCCATGTTAGTTCACAGCTGTTATTGAAGTATCATTGAGATAGTCATAGTTACTATTATTATTTTGAAATAGTTGATATTTTTATGTTTTCAGTTTTGTTTAATTTGAAAGTTGTATTTTCTTTTTTAAATGTCTAATTTTTATTTCAGTTTTATTTTTAGTTATTTTCATACATTAAGATAAAATGACAAATGCTGCCTTGACAACTAGCTGAAATAAAATAAGTTTAAAGTTTTTTTATATTTCGTTTTATTTTTTAATTTTCTTTACTTTTTAAAAATTGTTTTATGGTTTTAGTTTACTTTGAATAACCCTGGTTCACAGTGCATTAACTAATGTTAACTAATACATTTTGAAATGTATTAGAAAATGCTGAGACTACCATTAACTAAGGTTAATAGACGATTTTGTTCATTGTTAGTTCATGTTAACAAATGTACTTAACTAATGTTACCAATTGAAACCTTATTGTAAAGTGCTAACGTTGAGTTTAACCATTACTCTGGTCATACAATCAAACATTTCCTAAGTTTACTAGCCAATCAGATTTCTTGTTTAATCATTAGACTGCTCACAATCCAGTTGCGGCAGCCCATAAAGCATTTAAAACGTTTCTTTTGTAACCCTTTGACTTTCTATTTGTACAGCCTCAGGAGTCTCATCTTTCTCCAAGGCCAAATCTCAAAGCTTTGACCCCTTCGCAGACCTGGGTAACCTGGGCTCAACACTGCCTGGTATGTTTGTGTTTATTCTTTACCAGACTGCTTTCTCACATATCACTCGTATCATGTAACTAACACTGATTTGTGTTCAGGCTCGGCCAGTACTGGTTTCTCTGGCTCAGGTTTAAAAATGGCGCCCTCTGCAGTAGGCCCTAAGAACTCAGGTCAGCAGTGGCAGCAGGCTCCTCGGCCCTCCTCTGGCCCCAGCAAACCCTGGATGCCTCCAAGCTCGGCACCCAGAACGCAAACCCAGCGCTCCAAACCCACCACCCAACCGGCTAAACCAAACTACAAGCCCAGCTTCAGTGTGATCAGTGGACGAGAAGAGAGGGGGATCCGTGGGCCAGGCTTTGGTACGCTTTCACCAGTTTCAGAACAAATGCGCATGAAAATTGGGGAAAAAACAAAGATATATACAGTATATATATATATATACATATATATACATACAGGCACGTTTCCTCAAAGGAGTACCCCCCCACACACAAATATTAATGGGAAGATGAATTAAAAAAGCAAGTAAACAACTCACCCACTTAGACATCAGTGCTTTGTCATGTCAAAATCAAACCTGAAAGGACTTGAAAATACAATCTGTGAGGGTTTTTTTAGTGAGCAGTCGGTTTGGTGAAATTTGGGACATCTCCATGTCTGTGACCATCATGACACCTACAGCGTTTAATGAGCTTTGATGACTAATGATCCAAAAATAAGCTGACTTTTAAACAGAACAGCTGAACAAGTAAAATATAGATAATATAGTAATCTGAAATTTGTTACTGCAACTTGTAGTTATTATTTTGGGATGAATAAAACTGCTTAAAGGCATGATGAAAAATTAACTTGGTTTTAACAAATAGAACATGAATTATGTTGTTAAAGTAAAAATACAAAATAGAATAATTGTTATTTTTCGTTTTTTGATAGCGCAAGTAGGGCTGGGCGATAAAGCGATAATTATTGCAATATAATTTTCCTCGATAAAACGATAACGACAGTTCGTTAAATGTTCGATATAATGTTTATGCGCCAAAAGCAGAACAAAACAGCGCTACTCATTTGAGCCGCTCCACACGGAGCATTTATCTGCTCAACTCAAAGATCAAACTGCAGCGCAAGCTCACTAGAGCAGATGTGTTCACTCGCTGATGAGTCTCAGTCACTCGACACTAAACAGCGCAGTGAGCTCCAGTGTGAAGCGCTTGAATTCAGAGAAGAACACAAATGACTCTGTGATTTAAACTAGTTTAAAGGCAGATGAAACGGCGCTGACAAACAGGCTTTAAATCTACAAATCGCCACTGATTTCCGTGGATTTACTGTAGGAACACTAACTGCACCATGGTATTGTGGCAGAAATGTGGGATATTCATATATTTTATTATGTTATAGTAGTTGAATTGTATTATATTATTATTGTAGACATGTATTAAATGTATTCAAGGAGTAATGTAATATAATTACAGTATTTTTTTGTGATTAAGCTAAGCGTTGTGCAATTATACTAAATGTATTTAGACTACTGTTTTTCATACAAATACCCAGAAATAGGCTTGTCACGATAGACGATGCTGACGGTGATACCAGTGTTAAGCCACAACACCGGTTACATCACTTGCCCACTGTCGTTTTGATTTTTTTATAGTAATAAAAATCATTTAGTTCAGTAAAAGAACAGACACTACAATTAAAAACTGAACGTGGCTGCTCAATGCAGCGTGCCGAGCGACAGTCGCATCACAGATTTAATTTCTCCAGTGAGGAGAGTGAGTCGAGCTGACTGACAAGAAGAGTGAGGCGAGACAGACAAGACGATCGCGAATGATTTAGTTTCGAAACGAAGTGCAGAAGCACCTGTTTGGCAATATTTTGGATTTTGATAAGCCTGTTGACTTCTGCCGTTTATCTAAGGTGATTTTGGAAGTTTTTTTTTTTAAACATTCGGTTCTTATTTAATTGGTTCCACATTGTTTGCTGATTTTTACTTTATTTAAACTTTGTCATTTATTTATTTTATTTGACATCAAGGTGTATGCCGTGCCTCCAAGCTTTCTTACTCGATTTGCTAATAAACGTTCTACGTTTCTTATTTATTTGGTTATATATTATACATGTTTACTTGTTTCCAGTTTTGTGCATTTAAACTTTATGTAAGTTATTTGGGATTTTATATTAGGCATAGCCTGCCCTATAGCATGGTGTATTTTTATTTGTTTTGTTAATAAAAGTTCTATGTTTTATATATACGCTAATGTGAGTTTGACGTATTTTGTTGTTGCATTCAAGCAATGGACGCCTAACTGCCGCTAATTCTAAAGTGAAAGTAAAATGCGCACGGCGCTTTTAAGCTATTTAAAAACGATGGAAAGTGAGGAAAAGAGGGACAGTTCAAATGAACAATTGCTTTACTCCGAATTGCCACTATTTGAAAGTGAAAGTAAAATGTGCACGCCGCTTTTACAAGCTATTTAAAAGCGAAGGAAAAGAGGGAACGCCCCTGCCCCCGCGGTGATACCGGTATTACCGGTGTTGTCACACGTCAATTAACCGGTGGGAAAATTTCCTCACCGTCACAACCCTACCCATAAACAATATAGTTTCAATTTTTCCATGGTACTGAGGTGCTGTATGTGTGGTTTTAACTGTGATCTCATGATCTAAATGTATGCTACTATGGAAGACCAATGGTTAATTTTAATAAAACTCAGAAATTAAAACATTTTGTAAAGAATAATTACATTTCACCATATAAAAATGAGGTTGTTACAATTTTTAAAGATGTTACTGTTTTTGATAATGAACATAAATTTACATCGGCATCATTACATAATTTATCGAGATAATTTTTTTGGCTATATCGCCCAGCCCTAAGTGTAAGCAATGTTTATTTACCTGGAGAACATCACTGGTTTCAAATATCTGATTGTCAGTATTAAAGCTTTAAAATTGTGTATCTCTGATCAAGATTAAGTCAGCCTCTGGTGACTAAATGCAATAATTATCACGGCCTGTTTGGTTGTGTTCTTTAGGTCCAAAGCCCAAAGTGAAAGAAGATGACTTTGAGGATCTTCTGTCCACACAAGGTTTTGGCTCCAAAACTGACAAGAAGATGCCCAGAACTATTGCTGAGATGCGGAAGCAGGAGCTGTCTAGAGACATGGACCCTCTCAAACTTCAGGTATGACTGTTTAACACAATTTCAGTTTTTTTTTTCCCCCCCTCAAGAACATACTTGCATGTAGATGTGCTTTGGGCTTGATGATGCTGTTGTTTGTATGTTAGATCTTAGATTGGATCGAGGGGAAGGAGAGGAACATCAGAGCGCTGCTCTCCACGCTGCACACGGTCTTGTGGGAGGGAGAGACCCGCTGGAGACCCGTCACCATGGCAGATCTGGTCACACCTGACCAGGTGAAGAAGGTCTACAGGAAGGCTGTGCTTGTTGTGCACCCAGACAAGGTTTGATTTACATTCACATATTTACAACATGTATAAACCATTTTTGTAACAGTAAATCGATATGTTCTAAAGTCAACATGAATTCAAAATTGGCCCTCAAGTCTTCTTGCACAGTTTGTCAGTGCACATTATGCGTTTAATCTTTTCATCACAATGCAAAAATCTGGCCTCTAAAATGATTTTTTTTCTGTTGAAACAACTGAAATACAAACTTTAACAGATAAAACAACTTTGTTTTATTTGTTGTTTATCATTTTTTTATTTTTATAGTTTTCTTTTTATTTCAAGAAAATAATGATTAAAGCAAAATGTTAGTTATAATTAATATGTTAATCAATATATTAAATATTAATTGAAACAATATATGAATAAATAATATGGATACAAAATTATAGACGATGTTAATAAAATAATAAAATGACAATTTTATTGTATGTATGTGTTTGTTTATTATGTTTTTGTCATTGATGTTTATTATTTTATTGTTTATTTGTTTATTTATTTTGTAATTATGTATTGTTTGTTTTCATTTCAGACATGTGATTTGGGGGGGGGGGTATTTTTTTTTATATTCAAGAAAATATTTATTTTTTTATTTTTAATATATTAAGCAATTGATTAATTATTAATGAAAACAATATATGAATAAATATTATGGATACAAATATTTATTGACAGTAATACAAATATTAATGTTTATAAAATAAAACGTATTGTATGTATTTATTTATTTTATTAATTATTATTTTGTTTATTTATGATTTATTTGTAAATTATTGTTTTCATTTCATTTCAAACAATGGGGGGGAATATATTTATTCATTTTTTTAATGATATTAATCAATATATTCATTATTAATAAAAACGATATATGAATAAATATGGTTACAAATTTATTGGTAGTAATACAAATATTAATTCATATTATTTGTCATTAAAAGCAGCTTTGTCATTTTTGAAGGTCCAAAAAAAGTGTTTAATGTGCATGGATGCACTATAAATCCCATAGCATACATTAAGAAACAAATAGGGTCAGTTCTGATTTCATTCTGACTTTTTATTCAGCGCTAAAGAATTACATTCTGATTACACACTGTTGGTGTGACTCTCATCTTTATATCCAGGAACTATGGAGAAATAACTTTTTTTCTGGTCTTGCAGGCTACAGGTCAACCATACGAGCAGTATGCTAAAATGATCTTCATGGAGCTGAGCGATGCCTGGTCTGAGTTTGAGAACCAAGGAGCCAAAGCCCTGTTCTGAGCGTGCTCAGTGAGCGTCTGCCAGGAGCGGCGGGCCCCCTACAGGCAGCCTGAGGCACAGCGCTCTCTCCATACACACAGCTCTGAGAGAGAGATCAGTCAAGAGGAAGAAATCAGACCTCTTTCTGCTTGAGGACCTGAACTGTGATGCGCTCTTCTAAAGAGTGAAACCTGTGGCGCTGGATTTCTCCTCCTTCAAAAGGGGAACGTGCCAGCATCCTTTTGCCATTTGTAGATGATTAAAAACCATGCGCGCACACGCACACACACACACGCAAACACCTGAGACTACAGTCTGTGTCTTGCACTTCAAAAGAGCTCCAAAACAGATGGTTTCTGGGACGAAGACAAAATGATTATCGCTGATTTTTTTTTCTTGTCATTCTATGCATCACACTTTTTTCACTTTTTGTTTTTCAATCAGCGTGGCTTGTCAATTACTGATGTAAATAATGACTTGACGTGTGTGTGTGTGTGTGTTTGAGGGTGGATCATGTTCATATAAAGCTAAAGCAGAGGTTTTGACTTCTGTGCTCCACGATGTGAAGGCTTTTCATCACTTTCACTTCAGTTTTATCATGTTTTCACTGATCTCTAGTGTTAATTCTTTCTAGGCACCTCGTGGGAAGATGTATTTGTGGGTTCAATTTCTGCAGTCCAAAGTGTATTTCAGTGGCCGAAAGCAAACTTAACATCAACAAAAAGTGTGAGCTTTCCATATATTTTTTTTATCTAAAGGACCAATCAGAAATGTCTGTATTATTTATTGTTTTGAAAGCTGTACATGGCTAATCGATGGATATAAAAAGGACTAAAATAACAAATTTATTGCAAACGGTGGAACAAGCAAGCTAAGCATTTTGCAAAACTAAAATCATTCCAAAGCATCTACTAATATGAATGTGCTTTTTAAGATTATTGCTGGAATGTAAATCTTTTTTCTTTTTTTTTTCTTCTTCTACCATTATCATATTTTCCACAATATTCTATTTGATGTTTCCATAATCTCGTAATAATGACACTAGAAAGTTTGCACCGGTCCCTCAGGACATCAGGCCGAATTCAGTGTCCAATTGAAAAAAATAAAAATGTCTGATACAACTTAATAGACAATGAAGTGAGGGTGGAAATGAATGTTGTTTTTATATATAGACCTAATAGACCTAAATCAAGGACTGGATGAAAATGCTGATTCGTAAAGACTTGGCAAGTCGAGTTCTGTAACCTGCTGTATTTCTGCGATTATTCATATATGAAGCTTAAGAACTAAACAAAACCAAAGCCTTCATGTGTGTTACTGGTTTCTGAGAGTTCATCCATTAGTTTAGAGCGAAGACGTTTGCTGTTAAAGGGACTGAAGGGCTGGTTCAGATTGTCATTTCACCGTTTTGAGTGATTTTTGAAAGGTTTTGGCTTATTCACGCTCCACCAAAGTCATAAACGATCATAAATGTTTCATCCTGGAATGTGGCACTGGTGTTCAAAATTTTTCTTGGTGGTTTAATTCGTGAATAAGTTGAACGGGCTCTGATTGACATTAATGACTGAATTTAGTCTAGAAATATATTGCCTTATTCTGTGAATATATACTTATCTTCCCCAAGAACTGAACAATGCTGCTGCATTTTGGTGGAGCGTGAATATCTTTTAATAAGACACATTTTCTCTCTTTTAGCCCACTCAGCTTTCCTTTGGATGTCAAACTAGTGTTTTTCACCAGCTGTCTCCTGCGATGGAGAACAAAATCATAACACCACGGTCTTAAAGATATTTTTGTCATGTTTTCTTTTCTCAGATTTTGACCAATAAACCCTAATCATGGTTTGGGTTTAGACTGTCTCTTTTATTGCAATTTTATTTTTTTATTTTATTAATATTAGTCATTAATACAACTGCATTTTAGTGCCACGCTGAAAGAAATAAAGAAGGATAATAATTGAGAATAATCAAAATGAGGAGAGTAAAATCTAATTAGTTTGTCACCTAATGATGAGTAAAATAAGTCAAATTCCTGTAAGAGAATTTAGGTCTGCAAGTATGGCGATACCTACTGTATTTTCTTTAAAGTAAAGTGGAATATTTTGTCATTCAGATGACATGAGTTCTATTTGATATCACATACTATGAATAAATTTTTGCAGTATGCAGAGCTGGTCAGATTACTTACGAATTGTAGTCTGTTACTGATTCCAAATTACATGACAAAAATTGTAGTCAGTAACTTAATCCATTACATTACACATTTTAGGTCATCTAATCAGACTACTTTTTGATTACTTTTGACTGTTTAAATAGGATAATCTTGTACCATATTGATATTAAAATACAAAGAGTAAGAAAATATATTGCATTCATTGTAATTAACATGACGGGCATTGAGCATTACATTATGTCAAGGTTTCCCAAACTGGGGTTCATGAGTTTAATGGAAAGCTAATAATTATTTAAATTATAAAAAATTAAAATCAAATAAAATTTTATATTTTGTTTACCTGCATGCCATGTGACCATTATGAACAATGAAAAAATTGTTTATGAAAAAATTAAATATTTGTTTTAAAATCTCAAGGGTACTTCAAGTAAATATATTCAATGAAAGCGGTTCAGACGACAAAAACGTTTGGGAATGCCTGCTTTACATGTAAATAAGAAATAATGTGCATTTGTGCATTTTAATGTGTTTGAAAGACAAAAGCCTTTGAAAGACATGTGATAATTCAAATAAAAATAAACGTGTTCATCAGTAGTTGATGCAATGCTGAAACACTTCTTAAACCTGAGCTGGTGTTTGTAAATCCAGAGGTCAAATGCTGTGTAGCCTCCTGACTAATGACTGCTCTCTGTGTGAATGTCCTCAAAACTGAAGACTTTCTGACTGTATATAAACATTTAAAAGACAAAAATAAGAGAAATGAGGGAGAATCAATAAATTATGAATTATTTATTGCGTGAATATGTAAGCATGTCATCAATAAAAAAGTAACTGTTGTCTGATTATGAGTATTTTAAAATGTAATTTAATCTAATTAATCTTGTACCATATTGATATTAAAATACAAAGAGTAAGAAAATATATTGCATTCATTGTAATTAACATGACGGGCATTGAGCATTACATTATGTCAAGGTTTCCCAAACTGGGGTTCATGAGTTTAATGGAAAGCTAATAATTATTTAAATTATAAAAAATTAAAATCAAATAAAATTTTATATTTTGTTTACCTGCATGCCATGTGACCATTATGAACAATGAAAAAATTGTTTATGAAAAAATTAAATATTTGTTTTAAAATCTCAAGGGTACTTCAAGTAAATATATTCAATGAAAGCGGTTCAGACGACAAAAACGTTTGGGAATGCCTGCTTTACATGTAAATAAGAAATAATGTGCATTTGTGCATTTTAATGTGTTTGAAAGACAAAAGCCTTTGAAAGACATGTGATAATTCAAATAAAAATAAACGTGTTCATCAGTAGTTGATGCAATGCTGAAACACTTCTTAAACCTGAGCTGGTGTTTGTAAATCCAGAGGTCAAATGCTGTGTAGCCTCCTGACTAATGACTGCTCTCTGTGTGAATGTCCTCAAAACTGAAGACTGAGTGTATATAAACATTTAAAAGACAAAAATAAGAGGAATTAGGGAGAATCAATAAATTATGAATAATTTATTGCGTGAATATATAAGCATGTCATCAATAAAAAAGTAACTGTTGTCTGATTATGAGTATTTTAAAATGTAATTTAATCTAGTTACAAGTACTTAATTTTTGGGATCAGATTACATGTAAACATTTCCGAAGCTTTAAAGACTTAAAGGGGTCATATGATGCGATTTCAATTGTTCCTTTCTCTTTGGAGTGTTACAAGCTCTTGGTGCATAAAGAAGATCTGTAAAGTTGCGAAGACTAAAGTTTCAAATCCAAAGAGATATTCTTTATAAAAGTTAAGAGTCAAAGAAAGAAGGCGTAACTTTTATTCTCGCTGTAGTATTGTTGCTGCCGCTGTGTCGTGAAGGCGCCGTGTGTTTCGTTGTGAAAGCGAAACTACTTTGTTGGGTCTTCCAAAAGAGGACACGACTAGAAATCAGTGGTTAAGTTGTATTTACAACACTGTTCCAGAACAGTTCAACCCAAATATTCAGATGTGTGCAGCACATTTTATGGAGGACTGTTTCCTGATCCTGGAAGAGTAGACTACAATGCCGGCTGTTCTGACTCACAGACTGTAAGTACGTTTTTTATATTTAAAGAGTTTTTATATATTTAAATCAAGTTTTTTGGGCAGTGTAGAGTAGGGCTTGCTGTTTGTCATTTGTCGGACACGGCATCAACAGTATGGTGAGGGGCGTAACATTTCCGTCACACGCTTGAGGTATTCGGCCAATCACAACGCACTGGATAGCTGGCCAATCAGAGCACACCTCGCTTTTCAGACCGATGAGCTTTGTAAAAATCACAGAGCTTCTCCATAGAGGAGAAACAATAATGTACAGTATGTGGAAAATAATGTGTTTTGAACCTTAAACCACATAAACACATTTCATTACACCAAATACACAATATAATGTTCTTTTTAGCAGCATCATATGACCCATTTAACCTCAAACACAACAAAATTTAGCTTTAATCGAGAAGTTACAAAATTATAATACTAATTCAACATTATAACTTAAATCCAACTTAAAAAGTAGGCTAATTAGGGATTTAATTAAGTTTGTATGCAGAGGCGGACAGTAACTAAGTGCATTTACTTGAGTATTGTACTTAAAGGCACAATAAGTAATTTTCGCCGCTAGAGGGCGCCTATTCAAAATGAACAAATAGACAAAGGCGTAGTTTGATGACGCTGTGACTGAGTGTGGAATCATGGGAGTTGTGGTCTTCATCTCCACAGCCGATGCAATCTGACACGACTCGGGCAGAAATCATGTTCATAGATGAGCGAATGATTTATTAGCATAGTAGAATGAAGCAGGGTGAGGCTGAAAGCCGTCGAAGCGAAACGAGGCCGCTGAACGAGCGTGACACACGGCTCGAAAGCAGCAGAGCTTTTATTATGCCACAGTCGAGCGCTTCCGCTCCTTCCGGTCATGCGTATGTGGGGTAAAGCAGCTCTGTTTGATCATACTAGATACATTCAATAAATGAAAGTTCTGTTATAATGCTACTCTGTGCAAGTCTTTCCCTGCTCTTTGTGAAAAAGTGCCAGTTCCATCACATTTTGTTGGTGTGATCTATAGATTGCTCCTGCTGACTATATCCAGTCTCTTACGAGGACTTCAGATGACCCAACACCTGCGAAGAGATGACCCAACCCTTGAGAGGACTTCAGATGAAGCGGACTCTGAATAAACATACAAAACTGCTACATTTTCCTTGCATTGTAATCAACATGATCACATCATGTAACCATTGCTTTCATTTGTTAATTGTTTCTGTATATATTTAACTGTTTCTGAATACATGACGCTGCTTCACTGCATGATTTGTATAGCCTAATTTCAGAACATTTCTACCATTACTTTGGCACAGTTACACCTGTTAACAGAACTCTTATTCATAATGTAGAAACATTCATTTTCTGTAGAGCTGCTTTGAAACAATGTGTATATTAAAAAGTGCTATACAAATACATGTGAATTGTACAAAACTTGATGCATCATTTTTTTTCTCCTCTCCAGATCAGTAGGGAAACCATACATTCACATTCCTTTCTGTGAGTGACTGGAGCACTCCCATGCAGCACAGCAGACTATAGTGGAGACTGTTCAAGCACAACACGCTTTATAGTTTATTATAAATGTATAAATCGATTGCTGTAAATAAGTGCATAACAAAAGTCAACATACATAAAATATATGATTAAATGTGCACAAATGTTTTAAGTTGTTTTAAATTGGAATGTACTACAAATATATTTTTATATATTAATAACTGAGGGGTGCACACTAATCAAAAACATTGAACAAGGTTAGTTTTCACTTAATAAAATATCTTCATTTATTTGGAACGAATTTTCTAAGACAACAAACTTAACATTTACCGTGAGATTAGTCAAACGACAATGAACAGGTATATTTGTGATTGAACTTGACTAACAAGCAAGTTGTAAGAACACACACACACACACACATAATTATATTTATATAGAGAGACTGAAGTTACCTTGGCAGAAGACCACGATGTCGTTTATATAGCAAACACGGACTTTTACCATGGTAACTAAAGCCTAAAACATGTTAACAAGGCAGGTACGGATAGCTGACCACATTAATCCTCAAATATTAGAGGATTTTATCTTTTAAAAACAACACTAATATAACTACATCTATATCTATCTATATATATATACTACGTATAATATATATGTTGACTGCGTATTTTATAAATAATGTAAATAAATAATTTTATTGTCTATTAATTACCAAAAATCACAGTTCTGTCTCTCCAAATCTCTCTTTCCATGGCTCTGGATGAACCGTTCTAACAGTTGCAGACAGCCTTCAAAATAAAAGTCCGGTTGCAGTGCTATACAATGACCACAGGGGGCAGCCACGCGTTACTTACCGATGACTGCGGAATAAATGAAACAAGAGCATACTTTTTCCCTCTTCGTAGTTTGGAGCTAAATATGTTTAAAGTTCTTAATGTTTAAAAACTTTATATTTAAAAAAAAATATATATCCAAATATATATATGTTAGATATTTTAAATCCATTTCAAAATCTCAATTTAAATGCATGCGGAATGTTTAAATTGACATTATACTTCGCAGGCAGTTTCATCCACTGACAAATGAAGAAATGAAAACAAGTGCAAGACC